TTTGCGCAACAAATCTGCCTCAATCATCAGCAAAGATAAGGAATCAAGCTTTTCTTGTTTCATTGTCGATCTACTTGGATTTTGTGTACGTTTCAGCTGAGAAAAAGAGCGTTTCAAATGAGAAAAAGAGCTCTCAGTTGAACAGTTCGTAACCCTTAATGTTAAAAATATGCGCAAGGCGATTTCTACATTTGGAAAAGCACACTCAATGTTGTCTCTATTACTATGTAGAGTTCTGCATGACTGAACTTGATGCACAAAACTTTTGTGGCGAATATATGAGTGGCACTGGTGTAGTTCAGTATATAAATTATTGTTCAGATCTTCAGGATAAGCATTTATTAGTCCTTCACAACACTGAGATTTTTGTGGTACATCGACCAAACAAGAAAATCGAACTGCTAGATCATTATATACCTGTCCTCGTCTACTCATCTCTGTCTCAAGTTTGTCAACAATGGTGTAGAAAGCAGATATACGAAATTTGTCTCTGGCATTCTGAGATACCTCAGGGGCCATCACCCATCAATGACCACTGACTTTCGTTTACGATTACGGGTCAAAGTTGACTTATAATCCACACCTGGTGTTATTTCTTTTGCAGCTTCTTCAAGTCTTTCAAATTCATCCTTAGATTCATGCAAGTGATCTGCTAGTGAAGAATACAAATCAGCACACGTTTTCAAGTTCACATGCTCACTTTGTAGAGCTTGACTAACACTACTCACCATTGTTTTCACTAGCAGACCAAAACGGAAGTGAACTTGTCACTACGCTTTACTGCGTTACGTAGCACAAACATCCCAGGAAAAGTATAAAAAAAACCACACAAAAATCTTTAAGAAAAGAAAAAAAAGAAAAAAACCTGGGGGGGGGGGGGTATGTTACCCCCGGGTTGTGGGACCAAGGTTAAATAATGTGCGATTCAATATTACAATTGCGATTTGCTTATGCCATGCAACTACGCTACCGGGACAATATACACATTTTCTTGAGGACTTGTGATGCCCCACAATTGCTTGGTGCCCTGGGCACGTGCCTTGTTTGCCTAATGGTTAATCCAGCCCTGCAGCCAATGAAGGGTATTGCTACAACGCTAGGCCTATATCCATCAATTCACATAGAAACTATAGTGTTATCTAAGCCTATTGATATTTATATAGCTTATACAAGGAAAAATTAACAGGGCCCCCCGGTCCCAGAGAAATGAATACTATGAGTTCAGTACCCTTCGGTATTTGAAAATGGATAATAAAGTATATGTGTACTAAGTTTGGTCAAGATCCATCTATTCATGTAGGAGTATTTCTTTCTAATTATTTTAATATAGTTCATATAAGGAAAAAAATGAATTCGGGGCCCCCGGCCCCAAACATAATGTTATAAAAAGTTCACAACCCCTTAAGATTTCTTTCTGGATCATGATGGATATATGTACCAAGTTTGGTCAAGATCCATCAATCCATGTAAACGGTTTTGTGGAACATACCCACAAACCCACAAAATTTTACTTATAAGGGTGGGCCAATAAAAGTGAGAACATCTCCTAGCATATGAGTTATTTCAAAATATAATTTAATTAATTATAATTCTTCATGGAATTTTTTTTTGCAAAATATTTAGCTAATCAGAAATCATGTTCAATGTGTCCTCCTTGCTTCTCAACTATTTAAGCTAGAATGGGTATAGTTAAACTAACTTTGATGTGATTAAATCACATTTTACGAGATGTTCTCACTTTTATTGGCCCATCCTGTATATATATTTTATGATATACGTCTGAAAAAGAAGTTATTATTGTAGTTTGAAATTCCAAAAAACCTTCGAAATTACTGAATTTTTGGTGACATTTGATATTTATGCTGATAAATTATGTGCTAATTAATATAAAATGAGTTTTTAAATATATCCAATCTTCCTTATATAAATTATGCCACTTATATACAATTTAAAGAAAAGAGGACAATTTTGAAATAGCCATAAAAGTTTTTATACTTTTGTAACAAAACACTATAATCTATTAACTTTTTTTTTTCCTTGCAAAACTTGAAAATGATAACATTTTAATTAATACAAAAAACTAATTAAAATACTCATTGTTGTATTGTGTTTGCTAAGAAAGTATAATGAGGTTATCAATGCTGTATGTATTTATATCAACAAATTTAAATTTAATTTATAAATAAAGTAGGGTAAACAAATAAAAAGTTTGAATTAAAAATAATAGAACTACATTACTATTTTAGAGACAAGTAAAAATAAGAGGGTGTGCATGCGCCATTTGGTGCGCATCTTCTTCTATCGCTCACCGAACTAAATTCTTCAATGCGCCAAAATGTCATGAGGAAGGCCACACGGAGACCCCTCCGAAAAAACCCTATCTCACGCCTCGTGACGCCAGCGCCCTCAGTTTCAGCTGCATCCAAGTTCAAATGATAGAAATGATACTCCCCCTTCCCCGCCCCCCCCCCAAAAAAAAGAAAGAATTAAATAAAAAAAGGCCCCGGATGTTATTAATTGAAATGATGTTTTGAAACTTTAAAAAAGAAAATGATTTTCCTTTAGCTTTGGATGTATATACATATAGTACATATATTGTATATATTGTATATCTATATGTATATATAGTTAGGCTATACAGATTCCAGGAGCAAAATTAAGCTTGGACCCAAGAGGGTGGTACAATGGGAATGAAATTATGTTTATTTATGGTGGGGGCGATTGGGTCAGCAGGGCGATACTTTGCCTAATTTTGGCGTTGATTGGTGCCTAAACCCTCTACCAATAAAATTGTCTGAAAGACACTATGACAATAACGCAATAGACACCCTTGTCCCTGAAAGGTTAATTGCTAACATTGCTCCCCGATGTTGTTACGACGACCCTGCATATAAACATATACTCAGACACATATAAGCCCCCCCCCACACACACACACACAAACCCAAATAAACAACAACAATAGAAATGAAATGTAAATTGGTGCATCAACGCAAGGTATTATCAATTTCTCTCAAATCGTTTGATGAAGGCCTAAACGAATTCATGGCCTTTAAAAAAAAAAAAAAAAGCATTTCTTGGTTAGACTTGGTCAGACATTGTTTTTTTCGGTTTGTTATTATTGCTTCAGCAGGTACAAGGGATTATACATTTCTCTCAAATCGTTTGATGAAGGCCTAAACGAATTCATGGCCTTTAAAAAAAAAAAAAAAAAGCATTTCTTGGTTAGACTTGGTCAGACATTGTTTTTTTCGGTTTGTTATTATTGCTTCAGCAGGTGCTCTACAGTCTCAGAGGCTAGCGGGCAATGCCGACAGGTTGACCCCCCCCCCTCCCCCCTTTTTTGTTAAAGTCCAGTTTATTGAATTAACAGTTAGTAAATGTTCCGTACTTGTTTGGGTAACCAGACTCTGGTGTCAGCGACCCAGCTTCCACCAGGGGGTCCGTTCTGCCAGGTTGTGTACCATGCTAGCGTGTAACCTCTCACCTTAATGCTATCTGTCCACCAGGGGGTCCGTTCTGCCAGGTTGTGTACCATGCTAGCGTATAACCTCTCACCTTAATGTTATCTGTCCACTGGCTGTCTGTACCATTTTGTCCTAAAAGGGTCTGCCAATCAATATTTGACTCTGGGGTAAGTAAAAGAACAGAGTTTCTGACTGGGACTGGGCAGCCCCGGTTTCGGCCAGCGTGTCCGCTGCCTGGGACTGGGCAGCCCCGGTTTCGGCCAGTGTGTCCGCTGCCTGGGACTGGGCAGTCCCGGTTTTGGCCAGTGTGTCCGCTGCCTGGGACTGAGCAGCTCCGGTTTCGGCCAGAGTGTCCGCTGCCTGGGACTGGGCAGCCCCGGTTTTGACCAGTGTGCCCGCTGCCTGGGACTGGACAGCCCCGGTTTCGGCCAGAGTGTCCGCTGCCTGGGACTGGGCAGCCCCGGTTTTGGCCAGTGTGTCCACTCTTCCGATTGCCCTTCACGTTTACGCGGCTTGGAGCCCACTGNAGATCTTGAATCGGAGAAATTAACCCCGTCCAAGTTTCACCAGTTCCCACCTTTGCAGCGTAGTCAGCACACTGCCCAGTGCCCTGCGTACATCCTCTATAGCAGACTTGGACAACTCAAAATGTAAGGCAGGCCGAAATACTTTATTTAAAAAAATAGTGCGGACCGAAGAAAATAGGACGGCTTGTGGGGGGGGGGGGAGCTATTAAGAAAATAATAATAATAAGAGTATGTTGTTACTTCGCGGGCCGCAAAGTAGGTGCTGGTGAGCCGTATGTTGTGAAGGCCTGCTCCATAGCCCCACTTCGAAATTCAACGCTATAGTCCCACAGGACCTCGAGGGTGCCACGTTCGGTGGCCCGTGAATTGATTTTAGTATGGACGCATCGCAACCCGCTTTTCTCTCTCTGAGATTTGGCCGAGTCGTCCATAAATATCTTCACTGGGGTGTTATATGACCCAAAATGTCATAGGCCTATAGGGTTTGTCATTTCTAAGACCGGAAAACGTCCCATAACATTACGTAATTTTATTATTTTAGACATTTTTTTTCGTAAAACACAACCTCTAACAATGTATTAAGGGTGTGGGGGGGGGGGGAGGAGTTTCCTCTGTCTAGGCACTAGGATCTTAGGGACCTACTCTGCTGGTTAATCTTGAACTGAAGGCAAGGAAAGGATTGTTCAGTACTCTAATGCCTAAAATTTGTATGGGCCCTAATTCTTAATGTTGAGCAAATAGGGAAAAACACTGAACGTGACAGTGATATTTAATCATTCAAAAGTGGTTTATCTGTTCCTTAAAAAAATTTGATAATCTTGCTTTAAAATTTTATTATATTATTTACCATAAATCTACGACGGGAAAAAGGAAAGTAACGAAAAACAAGATAACCCTTCACCACAAATTTAATCTTTTTCTGCGTTATATCTCCCACTCTTTAATTTTGGAATCTGAAAAGTTGACCATGGCAGATAACTCTGTTTAAAAACTTTTCACTACACCACAATGACATAATGAAATGGGAATGACATTTCTTAGGCTGACCCGAAATCTTTTCGGGGTTTTAACATCTGTTAATCATTTCGGAAATAAAATTTGTAGGAAAATTTCCCATTCTACAGTTACTTTAAAAAAATATTTAAAATAATTGAAAGATATTTAGTTAAAGCCTTACTTAAACTTAATCACTTACTTAGTCACACTTAGCCTTTAGCACTTAGTCTTACTTTAACAGTGACTTAGTGAGAGTGAGTGTCACTTAGTTTATTAGTTATTATTATATAATTAGTTATTAGTTAGTTTGACTTCACTTAGTGATAGTGATTATTAGTGTGACGTACTATTACTTAGACTTACTAATTTAATTTTTCAAAGTGGCTATTCAGACCCGGGTATCAGAAGTGAGATGTTGGATTTTTAAAAAAACAAATATTACTGTTGAGCTTTTGGTTTGGGTTTGTAAGAAACAATTTGGTATCAAATTCAAAGATAACTGAATGAATGGGCTATATTCATGGGCGTGCGCAGAAAACTTTCTAGAGGGGGGCAAAAAAATCGATTAACTTTCTGGGGGGGGGGGGCAAAATTTTTTTAGTTATGTTTGAATGTAGTCTGTAGTTTTAACTTACTGCAGCGTATTTGTATGGTGAACGAACGGACAGGACATCAGCTTAGTTACTTTCTCTTTATTTTCTCATTACTTTAATACATTTTTTGTCTATTTTTGTCTAAAAATTTTTTATCCAATCAATCCAGTGGGGGGCAAGTGCCCCCCTTGCTTGCCCCTACCTGCGGGCGCCCATGACTGTATTCTATATGTTTGTAAACTAAAAATAAACTGCTACAAGACAAATGACATCAGAATAGTATTTAGTCTAAAGTAAGGTACTCAGGGACGCATAGCCACTATTCGCTATTTAGTTTTTGTGTAGGCCTACTTTAATAGCCATAGCCTAATGTAATAATATAGGCCTAATTTTTTTTTTTTTGAATTGATCATTGACAACATTGTCTTTCTATTTATTTAGCCTACATTTTTATAAGGCGGAGGGTTCTGTTGTCCGCACTCAACTTTGAAAACAAATCGGATACCGGTACTTGTAGGAACTTTTCATTAAAAAGTGGAACTTCTAATAATGAAGATCAAGATTGCAGAACTAAAGATGGTCCACTGTGTGTTTATTTAACAAAAATTGCAGCAGGGGAACTGAATAAAGACAATCATCAACAAAAAGTGGTTGAAAGGCTACAGACCCTTTATGAAGATTTAGAGACCTATCAACCAAGACCAACCAGACAGAAAGGATCATCAGTGTCATCGTGGTTTAAAGTAATGTTAAAATTACAAAATTTTTACAACTACTGTAGAAACTTGATTATTTCTACATATTATGAAAAAGGTGTAGTCAAGATAATTTTAAAAATCATGATAATCGATGCAGACTCTATTTACTAAAATTGTTACACCTTACATAAAGTCTTATTAAAAACACAGCTGCTCACAAAATATATATTACAATGAATTTTAATGTTTTAAAACTTTGTTTTAAAAAAATAAAATATACATTAACATCATTTTATGTGTCGCAATAATAATTTTTGACTTGCTTTGAGAAAACTTAAAGCATGACAGTAATCAAGTCCTAACTAAATTTTAACCAGTATTCTAAAGATTTTTTGGAGGGCGGTTTATACCAATGTAGACTCTAATATCAACATTGTATACAGTAATTCTTAATTGTACTCACTTTACATGAGGATCATCTTGAGCTTGTCTCTTAAAGTGTCAGCTTTGCCACTAATAACTATAGACAATTGGAACACTGTCACATTGTATTAGGTCCATCATGGTAACCATGAACATCCAAATTTTATATTGTTTTTGTGCTTGGTTTTGGACTGACTCACTGCCATTGTGATGATTCTCTCCAAACAAAGGGACATACATTTCTGTCATACAAAATAATAGGATGATAATCAGATAACCGTTTTCAGTTTAGTGAAGTTTCTACTGTATTCATCCCAATTTAGGTTTCTTAATAGATGAATTTGAATTTTAGTTTATTTATGCAGAATATTTTAAAATATTTATAAAAAAAATTAGGGAAATCATTGATGGTAAGAGAAAGATAACTACTTACACAGGTTTAAGTTTTTTGAAACCTCATTTGTGATATTTCTGCTCATATTGACACAAACAAGAAATATAAATCAATGTTCAAGTTATGAATTTTTATAAAATATGTTACATAATTTTACCCAAAAAAATGAAAGATATTTTAATTTATTTGAAAAATCTCTTTGCATGCTGGGGCTGCACAGATGACTTTAAAAAACCCATATTTAAACATACATTGTTCCTCAAAAATGAAATTTAAAATAGCAATATTTGATTCATATAAATTATTCTGGTACCCATATAGAGAAAATTACACTAGCGATGTTTTGAAATTTCATATATTCTTAAAATAAACCTGATTGTTTCTTTACAGAAAGATAATGAAAAGGATATTCCTGTTCGAGGTCTTTATTTACATGGAAATGTTGGTATGTCACTATTTCTTAATATCTTTTTGCTTATTTTGCACATAAGTAAGATATATTAGTTATTTTTTTAAAAAGCTTGTACCAAAGTAACATGTCAATTGTATGAATAAAAAGTGTTTTTTTTTTACATTTTAATTGAATAAATTAGGCTTTGAACTAATTTTAAATACATCTATATTATTTCTCACTCCCAGGGAAATAGTTTTAACAATGAAGTCAATTTTCAAGATAATATTTGATTAATTCTTTTTAGCGCATTTGATGTTATAAATTTTTCATAAAAAAAACATTATTTCTTTAAACTTTTCACCCATTTGATAATACCACCTGAACCTGAAATCTCTTAGGGACAGGGAAGACTATGCTGATGGATATGTTTCATGAAACCAGTACTGTCGCAAAGAAACAGCGTGTTCACTTCCACAAGTTCATGCTCGATGTCCACAAAAGTAAGTAGCGGTACTTCTCACTGAAACTTGGGATTTTTATAACCAGCAGAAGGCTAACTGAATGACATCAGTTTTCTTGGAACCTGGAAGACTTTCTCATTGAGAAGTGCACTTTAATTATCATAAGAACTGTTTACTGTTTATATGAATATTCATTTTTTTCATATTTGTTATTTATTAAATAAATTTCATAAAGTAATTTTTTTTTGGCCAAAATATTTCCCGTTTTTTGGTTTTCACTTTTCTATTTTACTTGAAAGAATTTTTTAACGCCTCAACCCATTTAAGAAAACCTAAATCTATACTATATAGATGTTTCTTTTATTTTGTTCATATTGTTTTCATGTTGTAGGAATTCACGCCTTAAAAAGATTCCAACCCAAGGCAACTACAACTCTTGACACTCAGCCATTCGATGCCATTGGACCCATCGCTGCTGAGATCAGCGAGGAGGCATGGTTGCTATGTTTTGACGAGTTTCAGGTAAAAGTGAAAGATATTTCAGGTTAAAGAATGGACAAATTATTTCAGCTTGTATTACCAAAATTTTGTTGTATCTTCTATTTTAATATGCTCCTTGTGGATTGTCTCCAAATTGTGGGACAGAAATATTGTGTCAAGTTAGCTTACTATCATGTTGACTGGGCAGATTTAAGAGCCATTTCTTTACACTTTAACACCAGCTTACTTTCAGCGTGATGTCTCACAAAAAAAAATACTGCGTCGAATCATGACAGTAAACATTTAAAACAGACAGATCATCATTTTACAATAAAAACAAAAGCAGGGAGGCAAAATATGTTTTTAGTTACCGGTAATAGAAAAAAAAAAAGAGGATAATTCCATTATTAATATGAATTAATTCTCCAGGTTACAGATGTTGCTGATGCTATGATCCTGAAGAGACTCTTTACTGAGATGTTCAAAAATGGTGTGGTTGTTGTTGCCACATCCAACAGGCGGCCAGATGGTAATCCATTAATTTTGATGTGAATACTCCTCCATCAGCATTGGTGCCATTAAAGTATTTATTCACCTTTGTATATTTCAAGAATGTGATTACAACCCTATATCAGTTTATGTCATGTGACTTATCCATTAAGGGCATGGTACTTTCAATTGAATTGATTATTCCAAAGTTTGTACAAACTGACTCATGTGAGTTTTTGTTTCATTCATCTAGACTTAATCATACAATTAAACCTTAAATAAATCTCTAAACTGATGACATTATTGACATATAAAATAAGGGGAATCTTACTTAATTTTCAGACTTGTACAAAAATGGCTTGCAGAGAGGTACATTTTTGCCATTCATTGATATACTGAAGGTAACTCTTGCTATCTTTTAAAACCGATTTAAAGACACATCTATTTCGCAAACACCTTCTGGGATGATTGCCAACCTTATTTTCCAGTTAATGCATAATGGCTGTGTTGCTTGGGGTTGAAATGGCTAGAAAGACTTTGCCATTGTATGCTTGTAATTAGTTTTTGAAGTGTTGCGTTTGTTTTAAATGTGGTAAATTATAGATTTGTTTTTTGTTGACTTTGTACCGCGCTTCGAGCCTTTGGGGATGAAGCGTGTTTTTGAAATGAACTTTATTATTATTATTATCTTTTACTATGCCACAGTTCCCATTTAGAATAATATATTGTGATTTTTTTGGGGTAATATATTAAGAATTTATTGTTAAGAAGGTCAGTCAAAGTTATGTATCGAAACAAAATTTAAATTTGTATAAAATGATTCTCTGATGAATATAATTGTTAAATAATTCTATTGGTTGTTATATTCTCAGAAATATTGTGAAATTATTCCCCTTGACTCAGGTATTGACTATAGGATGTTGGCACTGCCCTCTGAAGGTCAAGTTTATTTCATGTGAGTTTTGTTTACATGTTTACATTAACAACTTCATGACATTCAGTGTGCAGTCTGTGCAAAAGTATATCATCATAAAATGGAAAGCAATCTCATTCTGTACCCATTTAATTATGACAGTTATTGAAATAGGATTACACAATTCTGGTTGACCAATCAAACTTGAGCCTCGGTAAACAAATGTTGAGCAAACGTTTGGTTACTGATTCTGTTAGATTGGTAACGGAAAGGCCTAACAACATGGACAGTTTTAGTGCCAGAGCAGTTTTAGTTCCAGAGCTTGGAGTTATTCGCAATACAGGCTTCATTAAGCTTTCTCCATTCCTACTTCTTAGTTCAATTGATTTTACTAGCCTTCCACACATGGGAAATGAAATTGAAGAAAGCAGTGATGGAAAATTTAAGAGCAAAAATTACTGAGAGTGTCTCTTAAGGAATGTGTGAATATACATTTGTTTTGTTTTATTTAATTAATGTATGTTAATTTTTAAGCTCATGATTATGTTTGTTAAATTGTATGTACAGTGTGGTGAGCCCAGCTCTAGGCTGGGGTACCTCGCTATATAAAACCACCACTAATGACAATAATAATAATAATAATACCCGGTACAAAAAACCTTAAGTATTATATTAAACTTTTGTCACCTCTTGTTCTTTCAGTGGTTCACCCGAGGAAACAAACCCACATATTGATAATGTCATCAAAGAATTTCAACAAGAACATGGCTATGGTGAGCACGCAATGTTAAAAAGTCATTGTTGTTCAGTGATGGGAACCATTTATTACATTTCTCCTCTAGCGTTACACTTCCTTGTCTCTTCAGTGTTTTGTTTATTGAGCTCACGTTCTGTTGCTTGACTATATTTTAAAAGTCAGTCCTATAATCAAATTGGCAAATTATGTAGGTTTCTAACACTTTTTTTCTTGTCTTCACTGTTTTGTTTATTGAGCTCACATTCTGTTGCATGATAGTCTTTTAAGAGTCAATCTTAAATTTAAATTTAATAACAAACAAATTAGCAAGTTATGGGTTAATAACTCATTTTTTCCTTTCATTTGTACCCCTCCCCACTCAGTGTATATAATATGACAATTTTAGTTGATGGTTTCATTTGACAGAACTTAAACAGAAGACCCTGACTATTCTTGGTCGAAACCTTGTCTTGCCTAAAACTTACGGGCGAGTCCTTGACACTACATTTGAAAGCTTGTGTAAAAAGGTAGTTTTTCAGTGTTTAAGCGGAAAAAAAATATAATCAAATATAAAATTTTAATATTTCTAATCAAAATCATTTAGATCGGCTATGTTATATTAAAGTATTGGCATTATTACTCTTTGCATAATGGAAGTCTACAATAATAAATTATCCAACTATCTTTTAAGATATTTGACGTTAATATAAAATTCAAATCTAGAACCTCGGTGCCATTGACTACCTGGAGCTCTCCAAGGAGTTTGATGTTGTTGTCTTGAGATCTGTGCCCAACATGTGCCTCGGTTCCAGGACAGAGGCTCGGCGTTTCACTACGCTGATAGATACTTTGTATGATAATAAGGTATGTGCATTCTTATCCTGTGTCACTGAGATAGTAGTTTGCTAATACAGATTTCAATAAAAAAAAAATAATAACAAATAATAATATTCATTTTCAAACTACGACAAAAGAATATAATTAATTCTAATAATTAAATCATTTAACGGATCTATATCTAATGGTTTTTTTTTTTTTAAACTTTAACTATTAAAAGATTAACTGAAAATATCACCTCTATTTATGTTTATCAACACAATAAGAACATTGTTAATGATTATGTTGATGTCAATTAGAACACAATTTTTTAATCTAATCTTACCATTGGCTTTGAGTAGCCATCTTGACCTAAAAAAAGAAAACAGAAATAGCTACATGCAGGAATAATTGGATCCAAGTACATTTTCAAGGACTGTTTAATCTAAATATCTTAAATTCCACATTTTATTGTATTTTTATCTTGTTATCAGCATCTGATATTTTGGACATTGAAAATGTTCATCCAAGAAATGTTAATTTTAGTTACCGCATCTTCCTTTGTGTGTACATCCCATTGTGTACAAATGTTGAGATAATTGTATCTATATATATTTCTTTTGAAGGTGAAGCTTGTCATTGGGGCAGCATCTGGTGCCAAAAATTTGTTTAGCACCGGAACAATCAGCTTCTCTGATGCTGAGGCCAACAGAAGTTTGATGGATGACCTTGGGATAAATGCAGTAAGTCTCAGATTTCTTTCAGTTCTGTAACCAACCTCTTAGAGCAATATGCATCCCATGAACTGGCTTAAGCCCTCCCTGGCTGTGTCCTGCATCTGTTCCACTCTGACCTATTGAATGGACTTTATTATCATCTTAGAAGAAACATAGAGCACGGATCTCATTGTGCGATCATAAAACATTTTAAATCCTTTAATATTAACTTCGCTTTTGTTTGTGTGTTTCTTTCTTTCTGTCTGGGTTTGTGGCTAAATCTTTGGATGGCTAATTGACCCACTTCCCATCAACCTATCAAGCTAAAACTTTGCACATATACTCAGTCCCCATGACAACACGTTTTTTTTCAAATTTTGAGTATGTCCCCCAACCCCCAAAATCAGTTTTTTTCCTGTTTTTAATAGAGAGGATGAAGGGAATATTATGTCACTGATTTCACAAAATAAAAGTCCCAATAACTTTTGTCCCTTGGAAACAAATTTATTTCATATTTACGCCCTTTTAAATCATAATATCTATAATGTGGAAGCATAAAATAATATTTTTTTCTTAGTCATATGAATGTCACAACCTCAGGAGTCATTTATTTTATACAATTAAAAGTATTTTTTTTTAAAAAGTATTTTTAAAAAAAAGATTTTGTTTTATTTTGTATTATAAAAATGTTGCTGATGAAGTTAATCTATTTTTGCCATAAATCATCAAAGTCAAATTTATTAACTAACTTTTAAAAATAATTTTTGTGATTCATCCCTCAATGTATGAATCTCCAAGGAGTTCCCAAGGAGTTCCCATGGAGTTCCCAAGTTACGTATTGTAACCGTCTATCCTGTTGTTGTAGACATAGAGGTGATCGTTAGCTAAGTCTACAACTGTATAAATGATCATTTAATGCCACATCAAGGCATTGACATTATCTACATATTCATATCATATGAATCCCCTTGTCACTAATCTATTTAATACACAATTTATTTCAATATTACCGTATTCATATACATCAACAACTTTACTTATAATACAGAACAGCCTTTAATATATATGTGTTCGCTTTTGTGTTCAATAATTGTCTTTACTAGTGCCCGCACAATTATCACACGTTTTCTGTGCCACAAACTCATAAACCGTTTTTTTTTTCAATTTCTTATGTCTGCCTCAACTCCACCATTACATCTCTACATGTGTGCATCTCGTTTGAATCTACTGCAACTTAAATTAAAATAAGGTATACTAAGTTAATTACCGCTAGTGTGTTTGTTGCAAAATATTTACTTTTGTTTTTATGAAATAGTTGGTGAAATAAACCCGCAGTGTAAAATTGGTTGGACATTAGAATATTAATATAAAATAAAATAATGCGTATAAAGACTATGAAACACTTAATGGTTTTTTAATTGTCAATAAATTATTGTCTTAAAATATTTTTCAACAAAAATAGCTGGAGAAGACTGGAAAAAAATATATAATGAAACTACATTTTTGACAATCGGACCCATGTAGGAGCTGTCTGGAGAGTCAGGTTTCAACTGCTTAAATGTTTGGCCACATCCAGATTTTTTTTGTCTTTTCTTTTTCTTGATCTCTGTCTTTGTTTATTCTGAGAGAACTTTTCTTTCCCCCCTCAGAAATCTGACCTGGCTAATTCCAGCATCTTTACTGGAGAAGAGGAGTTGTTCGCTTTTGAGAGAGTTATCTCCCGTCTGAGTGAGATGCAGACTAAAGAATATTGGGATATGGACAGAACAAGTAGAGTGCAACAGCCCAACAGAGCTGCAGGTGTGGACAGAGTGAGACAATCTTCATCCTCTTGACACTAGTGGAAATTTAGGATTGGATATAGTTTGGTGTATAAATTAGAGCAGGTGTATAAATATTTAATCTGTGATTGGGATCGGAATATATTTAATCAAAGTTATCCATCAAATTAATTTTTATTTAGTGCTTTTATATTTAAGATGATTGTTTCAATGTGGTAAGATGATTAAGATCATAATCATGTCCATGTCACTTATTTTCTTATTTATGATTTTGTTTTTAAAAATAATGGAAAAAAATTTTCAAAAGTCATTTAAACTCTAAAGAGAAATTGTCTCCTCCTCCCCCCTCCCCTCTTCTTATTCACTGGCTGATAAGATACAACTGCTATTTTGACCTGCACTTTTATCTACAGTACATAAACTGGTATGGGTCACACCAGTGGATAGGTCGTAGAGATAGGTAGCTTGGTTAGTTTGGGGGTTTACCGCAGATGGGTCACACCCACACACCCACACACCCACACACCCACCCACACACCCATACATCCACACACCTACACACCGATACACCCATACACCCACACACCCACACACCCATACACCAATAGTTTGAGGAGCTACATTGCCCTTTTGTTTTTAAAAAAACGTAAATATAACCGAGGTGACGAATTGTTTCAATAACAACTTGAAAATTGAAAGCAACTGTCAGAAATTCTGTAATCCTTATTTAACGTTAAAAAAACTGATTGCCCTCTGCTTGAGCATAATCGAAAGCGAAGGAGAAAACGATTCTCTGACCAATGACTTCTGTTCACTGATTAACACTTATAACAGTAAGTGAAATTGATGTCCTCTGGATAGGTGTCCCCCCCGTCCCCCCCATATTTTTTTCAACATTCGTGTTAAAAAGGTGCAATCTATATTTGAGTATTTACCTGACTTATTACATAAAGAGAAAAATGGTGAGTCCAAAGTTCCCAATGACCTTACTTATTACATAAAGAGAAAAATGGTGAGTCCAAAGCTCCCAATGCAACATTCTCTGATTAGGATGTTTGTCTCCATGTGATTTTGGTACCGGTGGCCTACTGGCTTTACATGTTGTACTTAGGTTAAATATTAGGCTTGTGAATTAAAATAAAAAATAGATTTGGTTGTTGAGCTTTTTAAAGAAAAATCTGTCTTAAAACTATTATATTATGTTATTATTATCTGTTATTTTTACAAATATACTTATAATGTCTGGTGACAAGCATGTACTTACCAAAAAAAAAATGTGGTTTGGTGTTTGTTTAAGGCTCTGTTTCTTCAAACGGTTTTAGTGAACCAGTTTCAGACAGTCATGTCGAATAGTCTGAGATAGTATGACATAATAAAGGACTTTTTTTTTAACCCATCCAGTGTGTGAAGCTCTGATTTTGAGTAGTGTCTCATTTGTGTCGAACCCATTAAGTTTGAGAAGCACTGATTTTAAGTGTCTCATGCAGACCCGGTGCAGTAAGGCGAGTTTTAGTTAATTACTTTAACCTGCTGTGCTGTACTTTTGTTTGTGTCCGGGCAGTTGCTGGAAAGAAACGGATGATAACCACCTGTAATATACAGTACTGTGTCCACGGTGCACCAGTTGTTATGATGAATCTAATTATATATAACCACACTGTGCATGATGACCTACAAAATTAAAATTTCTGAATAATTTACCCGTTACATTAACGGTTAAATTAAAAATCACTTCACCGGTTATATGGCTCTTGTTTCATCAAGACAACTTTTAAAAAAATTTCAGACGTTGTGGTTAATTTTCAAAATCCCAACTTGCTTAGGCTGATGTGTCAGTATTTTTAAACACCGATGTCTTTTTGCGGAACTACCCAACATCCATTTAGAAATTGATAATATAAAGAATGTAATATATTTTAAACGATGATACGAAAGCATGTGGTGAAATTCAGTGTGGCCTACCCATTAATTGTGTTTCCTCACAAATGTTTTATTACTTAACTCTATTCGATGACTTCACAAATGTTTTATTACTTAACTCTATTCGATGACTTCACAAATTTTTTGTGCTATGTAATCAATGATATACTTATGAAATGAATCCTTAGATTTACACAGAAACAGACAGACCTGAGGTACATCTTGGTAACATCTGATATAATGGGTTGATATTATTTTATGCACAGTGGAGACACAATCTCACCTTATAGATATTAGAACCTGGAGAGTGGAGAGAGCTGACCTTGTCTGATACCTATAGCCCAACATTACAAGACAGGAAATAAAAGATTTGAAACAAAGCTTGGTTATTGAATGTGTCTCATTTATGATCTTTAGACTTGTTGTTTGAGATGGTCTTTGTTTTCTTACTATAATTAAACAGCCCCAAAAAAAAAAGTTTTTCATATAAATTCTTTATAAAATGTAACATAGAGCAATTTGGGGGGTAGGGCTGAAAATTTGACAAAAATATTCTTACAAGTAACGCCCCTTTTATAAACATCAGAATAAGTTGTCGCCCCCCCACCCACCCCCACCCCCGCCACCACCACGACTCGCAACTGCACATTTTGTCACGCTCCTGAAATATATTACTATTCTAATGGCCCACTCCGCTTTTACACCGCAGATTTACAACTGCACATTTTGTCACGCTCCTGAAATATATTACTATTCTAATGGCCCACTCCGCTTTTACACCGCAGATTTATATACCAACTATTTCAGAAAAAAAAGAAGAAGAAAATATTAGGATAGAGCGCACTTGTGATATTTTAAAAAAAAATAATAAAGAATCTCATTTCACGCAATTATCAGGAATTTTATTTCGTGAAATCATTATCATGCTATTTCATTCATCTTCCCGTGAAAAACAGGAAAAATGGATTTTTGTGCATTTAAGGGGTGGGGCTGAAAAATTTTGATAGAATGTGTTGCCATCGGCAACGAATCCTTGTGCCAAGTTTCAGCTCGATAGGTTGATACGGGAAGTGGGTCAATTAGACGTCCGAAAAAAAGCCAGCCAGCCACGATCAAAAGCCAAGTTAATATAAAGGATTTTCTTTTTAAAAATGATATTAGAAAAAACAAAAACACGTTCGTAAATTATGTCACGGAAAAAAATGACCTTTTTAGACCCCCACCCCTCCCTGCCACACACTGTCACAAATTCTTTAACCCCCCACCCCCCTCCCCCACATTATCACGCCACACCTAAAAAAGTTCAAAGCATACATAAAATTTTATAACTAAACTAAGATTTTAATTCACCGAGTCATCACCGAGCCGAATGTAAAAATGGCCACAACAGTTTTTGCGTCATTTTTCTATATGCGCCGAAGGTGTGCCCGACTTAGTTTCACAGTACCTATAATACCTGAGGCTATTTCAAAATTAAATTAATGTTCTTAGAATTAATTGAATAAAGATTTTTCAAAATTAGAAAATGTTAGATTATTTTTTTATTTTTTTTTAAAAGCGACGTCACACATTTTTGCCCCCCTCCCTATCACAAAGGGTCACAAATGCGAAACGACCCCAAAGATGTTGATTTTTTTTTTTTTTTTTTAATCTAAATATATTTTCAACAGCTTAGTAGACAACCATGTTCAGAAATCGGTTCTTAATTTTTGGGGCGGGCACTTATATTTACAGTGCCGTTCTTAGGCATAGGCAAACTAGGCGACCGCCTAGGGCCCCGCTGCCAAGGGGGCCCCACTGCCAAGGGGGCCCTGCCGGGCGCTTTTTTTTTTTTAGCCTTCAACTTGCAAGTACATATGTAAAATAATACGTGTTGCATTCAATTGTAAAATCACGCAGAGTTTGCCTTTATAAAAAAACAACATTGTAATGTTAAAGGTATACCTCGGGGTGTGTCGGGTTGCGCCATGCCCGCTATTGATTGGTCATATTATAGATTTATTGGTGATCGATACATAAATATTCAGAATATCGCTCTGATGCGGGTTCGTTGTTTGTATGAGATTGGCTTCGAACATCGCGGGGGGGGGGGGGGGGGGGGGGGGGCGCCTGGTAACGCACGATTGCTGGTTGGACATGGCGCCATTGATTGAATCTTGTGTTCATTAAACTAATTGATGGATTGTTGAACGGGCAACGGAGCAGGACAATCACTTGCGGGATTTGTTGCGCCGTGAGCAGCCTGCTCCAAAAGTGCGAACAGTCGAGTCCGAATGTGTCTAAAATTTTTGAAGTCTATCCACGGGTCCACCGCTGACAAGGGATACGTCTTCCGAAGAGAAATTAGCATCATATGTTGAATTTTTAATGCAATGTATATCTCCATTGGCTGAGTAGAAAAAAAAAGGAGGGGGGGGGAGAGAGAGAGGAGAGGGATCTTTGCATGTGATCAAAAAAAAAAAAAAAAAAAAAAGATAAAAGACTAAAAGAAATTTATAAGGACACATTATTAATATATTTTAACCCCACCGATTCTGGATCCAGTATTGTTGGTACACCACTGGCTAACCCTAACCCTAATCTAACACCGATTGTTAATGTTGGATCAAGTGTTGAGTTAGTGGTGCACCAATTGTTAACATGGGGGTCAGGTGTAGAGTTAATGGTGCACCAATTGTTAACAGGGGGTCAAGTGTAGAGATAATGGTACACCAAATGTTAACATGGGGGTCAAGCGTTGAGTTAATGGTACAGCAATTTTTTACAAGGGGTCAAGTGTTGCGGAAATGGTACACGAATCATTAACATGGTATCAAGTGTTGAGGTAATGGGACACCACTTATTAACAAGGGGTCAAGTGTTGAGGTAATGGGACATCAATTATTAACAAGGGGTCAAGTGTTGCGGTAATGGGACACCAAATATTAACATGATATCAAGTGTTGAGGTAATGGTTAATGAGTTTTAAAATCTCAGATCCCATGATCCACGTCATCTTTACTTCAAGGTAAGCATCTGTTTAAAACGGGTTATAGGTAAGTCATCCTTTCTTACAGTAAACAGCTTGACTTATAACGGTCACTTGAGGGTGAGTTCATATTTCAAACACTGATTAAAAAGAAGAAGAGAAAAAAAGTGTGTGGGAGAGGGGGGGGGGGACCGAAAAACACATGTAAAATAAAAACTACACACACACACACACCGTATGCATGATATGACGTGATGAGTTATTATTTTATTTTTCCATTCAAAGTAATACTTTCAACATCTTCGTAGACATCCCTGTTAGAAAATCGGTTCTTACTTTTGAGGCCCTTATGTTGGTCAAATATATTGTAACGTCATGAATAAAACAAATAGTGCAATAATGGACAACTGTACATAAGAACTGTCTTATATTTGTGGCTTAATCCAACACCTTATATTCTGATGTCGAAAGAGCCTTATTCTGATATCGCAAACAAATTGCTTTATTTTGATGTCGCAATCAAATGCCTTATTCTGATAAGGTTTATCTCTCAATAAACTGCCACTTGTCTCAACCATCTAATGTCTCAATAATCGGTCTTTCTTTAACAAAAAAATAAATTCTTCTTCTTATATTTGAGGGGCCCACGATCAATTTGTTGATCATTCCTGCTCCTGGTTTTAATTTAGAGTTTGCCTTCTCTTAGATGGGTTGCCGTCCAAGGCTAACGAGTCCCATCCACCCGATGTCTTAACAAAATTTCTGACGCTAACCCCACCTGACCATCCTGTGCAATCAGGTCAAGGATGGTTATTTCCATCTACAGCCGGTGGTCAGAGACAGTCGGGGGTGAGGTCTGGCGAACATCAATACACGACATGTGACGTCAGTCGTCATTGTTGACAGGGCCCGGTTGAGAAGTGTTCGCCGGGAACAACTTAGTCTTAGATACACCTCCACACCAAAATCTGTTTTTCAGAACACAATGCGACCGTGTTTGGCCAAGTAACAAAGTGGCAAACCAAAGGTTCGAGATCTCGAAGGGGAAGTGGAGTGAGACCGGCCACTTCACACACCTGGCACACTGATAATTTGACATGGAGGTGACAATGTTTCGTCTGGAAATAACTGACATCAAGTTTCTTGACCAACTCAGACGGAAAGGTTTGTTGGTTTAATTTTTTAAACATCAGATTCTGTTGTAAGAAACTCATATGAAATGTGATGCCTTCGTTTGTCTCTCAAAAACCTTGATTTTCAAAAGTATGTTAAAACGGATTTAAATGGAAGCTTATCAGACCAAATGGATTTCTTGGCAGTCGCATGTTATTTTATTAAGCGGAGGAATGTTAAGATTGAAGCATTGTACTTCGTAGAGAAGTTTTTATTCGGAGTTTTCTTAAACAAATGTCTTGTTTATGACAGTCGTGTTGAGAGGTACGAAGCTATGCGGAAGGAGCAGATCGATAATGGAGGTCCTAGTTGTGTGTGCTATCAATGCTATCGCCAATACTTTATATGTGCAACTTTGATCATAACGGAATTCAAAGTCGGGACTTAATTATGTACCGGGAATTCCAATCACACATCGCCATATATTACGTTCATTAGCGTATCGCCTGGACACCGCGCGTAGCAACATTGTATAAAAGTAGATATCTGGGATGGGGATACATATTCATCATTTAAAAGAAGAAAAAAATCCTCCTAATATTCCTCTTTCTTTTAATTTTAATTAGCTTATAAGTTAGTTTCAAAACTTTTAAGATGAATGTTAGAAAACCTTACGGACACCCATTTAACATAGTGTGGTGGGGTGGGGGGGTGTTATTATAGTAACTAGAGCAGAGGCGGTCAACCCAAAGGGCTTTGCGGACCATTTTAATAAGTCATAGCCAGCTCGCGAGCAGCATGTCAGGCATTCTATTGAAATAAGCACCCATTCGATGCTGTATAGAGACGTCGGTCTGTTCTTAATGAAACAGTGAAAGGAGCAAACGTATCTAACGTGATACCGTGATATTTTTTGTCTCGCTTATAGGATAAAAAAATCGATAGCTTTGCTAATTTGATTTGTGGTTCAGACGCCAATCTTCGTAAAGCTGCCATCGCATCAATAAAAGTTGGTGAATCAGAGATCCACTGTCAGAGACCTTGGCTTTTATATTGACAGTAAACTTAGTATGATTCCCCATATCAGTTATGTGGTCAAGGCATGTTTCTGTCATGTGCGTGCCATGGGTCAGCTGCGTCCTCAACCCAAGTGAACAGCCAATGCTGTAGCAGTAACTCTAATCCAGTCAAGATTAGATTACTGTAACAGTTGTTTGTGGGGTTTACCTTAGAACCGAATTCAGAGACCCCAGAAGGTACAAATCCTGCAGCACGCATTGTATAGCGGATAAAGAAATCTGAACACTTCACCCCAGTTCTACGAGATCTCCATTAGGTTCCTGTGAGTATAAAATTCTGTCCCTGGCGTATGGCTGCATAGAAATA